GTATTTATAGAAAAGTCACGAGGACGTTACACTATGCCAGTGAGAAATTGAGTGAATCCGAGATGCCAAGTCAGAACCAATAACGTTGCAGATTCTTCTTTGGATTTTATAAAGAATCTCTATATATATATCAGGAGCATCAAACCTGATGTGCAATATTATATCAATATAATAATAATAATCGTAATTATACTATTATATTGTTTGTTTGTTTGTTTGTTTTTTTTTTTTTTTTTTGTTTTTGGGGGTTTTTTTTCGGAACATAATATCCGATATAAGAATCAACTTTTGTTTCTGAATTAATGCATTAAAGCAATGCTTAAATTAGTAAAACCCTGAACATCTATACATTTTTACCATCGATTACAAAGTTATTTAAGCCGTTTTGATAAAACTTTAAATGCTTGGGGCCCAAGAAATCTTTGAAGGCGGTTTCTGTATCTTCTTTGCAATTAAATATCTTATTGGTTAAAATTTGTCAAGATGCTTGAAAAAGTTGTTGTCAGTGAAGAAGAAATATGCTGAATGTATCAAAGTCTCGTATCACAAGACAGTGGACTCCTGCAGTGTCATCCTGGCAACATATGGCCAATCATTTTCATAAAGCAGAATTGAACCTTGTCGATTAACTAGTGTCGGTCGCATTTTCATTCCAGTTGCTGGCAACGATGTTTGGGTTCGATTCCAAAAAGCTTATAATGGATAACTCAAATGACAGACAACTAGAAATTCACCATAATCTTGTGTTTATGCAATTTAGGTTTGGAAAAAAATGTGGGGTGTGGCAATCGTCATTATCAAGCCATTGGGTCGATCGTTTAAGATTGTCATAAAGAATCCATTTCTTATCACACGTAACTATCCAATCAAGAAATAAACCATGCAGAACTTGAACTTTCACTGAGTTTATATGGAAACCATTTATCAAATTACCAATTTTCTTATCGATTTTGTGGAAATACTAACAAATATTATCTGAGACATTTCTCAGACACTTTGATGTTGGTTTTATTTGACTAGTATTCTAAGATTTTGATTGTCAGTTGTAAACAGACATCCTCTACCACCTTGATTTTCAAAAATCCCTACCGTGGAACTTCAGAAACCAGTAGCATACCATTCAGTCAAATGTGGATCCTTCACCCCGTGTTGTACTGATGGTGTCAGCAATTTGGGAAGAATTATGATCAAGTTTGAAAACAATTTTATCGCTAGGAAAGTGTTAGTATTTTTATAGATAAAAGTTTTAAATGCGTTGATAATCCAGTCTACAAAACTTTCAGGCATTATAACAGGATTTTTTAAAATCTTTACAGAAATCTTCAACAATATTTCATCGAATAACGATACAAGTTACAAAGAGAACGATTTCAACCTTTTTGAACTTTTCATGATGAAGTCGTTTTACTGTTACTATGTTGAATTGTGGTAAATAAGCAACAATAATAATGTGACAAAAATTATTATCATTATTATTATTATTATTATTATTATTATTTTGATAATAATGATAAATGCTTCATCTATAAAAATTTTAAAAAGTAACAAGTGACAATCCAAAGATAACTTACAATATTGGAGGGGAGGGTCATGGTAAATTAGCTACTGATTTGTACCCGGCTTTATTATCAAACTGAAAGTGACGTCCATAGAAAGAGGTGCTGATGTAGTGTACAAATTCGCTAGAACAGACATTTTTTTTGTTTCCAATGTTGGCTCATTTCTTCTAGCTATCGACTTGTGTATAAAAGCATCAGTAATAAAATAAAGTAAAACTAGAAAGAAAATATTTAGTTTTCTTTTCATTTTTAAAAAAGTTACACAGCTGCACAAATCTAAATAAAAAATACTATGGTATAGGAAACCATACCTGCGTTTTTAAAGAGAATTTGAACATATCACTTTGCGACGAATACATTTTGTTCATGATATCCAACGATTTTATCACCATCTTGTCATATTTGTAGTTGGTCAAATCCTAGAAATGTCAAAACAGAAAAAAAATCATTTCAAATAATAAGACATTTATTCGTGGCCATTATATACATAATCAAAAACTGATTTCGTCTAATTTTCAGTGTACTGATATAATAATTACTTACCATTAAAATAACTGTTGTTGTTTCAATGTCAAATATTGCAGACTGGTGAAACATTTCACGAAGTTCTTTTGTGATTTCTTTTTGTTTTTTGCATGCTTTTCTGAAAAAGAAAATTTCACATTCACCAAAAAATGAGGCAAATTTGATTTTTGATAAGGCTAATAAACAGAGTGTATGTATACACATTTTGAATCTTTCTCGAGAAATAATTCGAGCAACTAGTACCAACTATATTTAATTTCAATAACGAATATGTAGACAGTATTTGTTATAAATACACGCATTCCATATTTTCAAATTGATGGACGTTATGATCCAGACATTGCTGACAACTCAACACAATGGAATCACAAGCAGCAATCGACATTGTTGCATTTCTAGGAAAACTTTCCATCACCCTTTCTTGTTTAAAATGGCTGGTTGATATTCGTGGTTTTATGCACCGGTTCTTGTGCGCATTATATAAAGTACCATCAGCCTCAGATTTACCTCTATTTCGTTAGATTATAAGCCGCGTGGATGCATCTAAATGGAACTCTTTTCGTTACCGCCTTTAAACTTCAACTGCATTATCTTACTTTCAGTAGCATTTCAGGATGAATTTTCTTTGTTCAAAGCTAAGCCTGGATGACATTAGTAATAGTAATGTGTAATTCTGAAAATAAATCAGTTAACTAAAACTATACGCTGTAAAAGTGTTTATACAATTGTTTAAGACTACCTAAATTCTTCTTAATAATAATCTACAAAGTAATTGATTACTATCCTTTCAGTTAAAAAAAAAAAGCTTATAAGCTGTCTAAAAGTTAATTAGAAAAGAAAATTTTCCTAAATTAATCCTTAATAAATATTTAAGCAAAACAACAAACTTCAAATAATATTAACATTTTCTATGAAAATGAATTATCTGCTTAATATAGGGTGACCCCAAAAAATGGTAATTTTTTAAGTGCATATTGCCAGACATGAGCAAGTGGCAACACTGCGAGACAGTGACCTTGAGCAAGTAAACATTTCGCTATTTTAGTAACCATGGATCAGTGGAACGGACAACAGCGTGCGTTAGCAGCAGTCAATGAGGAATCTCAACAGCAGATTTCAAGAATGCATTCGTACAGGAGGACGCCATCTACAGTACGTAATTTTTAAAAAATGAAAATTCCATCATTGTTTCTTAAATGGCATGTTTTAAGGTTTCAATTACTATGAATAAAATATTTTTCTTCCATCACTCTTGGTTTTATGGGATTGTTAAAAAGTTCCCGTTTTTTTGGGTCACCCTGTATAAGTATCAGTATTTTGTGTTCCCAAGACGTTCCACTTTATGATGTTTGTTTCCCTACTTACAAAAACTATTTTTCTTCTTCTATGTACCGTGTCTCTTAAGGGTGTTGTCGACCATCGCTCTCCACAATTTCCGATCCTTTGTAACTCTTAATAAATTTTGTCTCTTTGCCATTTTTCCGAAACCCTGTTCCATCATACATTCACTCATTTTACTAGGGTAGATTATCCGTTGCTTTCGTCTTTGTGATACTCATAGGAAAATGCGATACTCATGTGGGACAAATTGAAGTTAAGAAACACCTCTTATCTTCAATTCTTCCTATGAGAATAACATTTTTCAATCCCTCTTTCCTTATGACGTGCTCTAGAAATTCCAACTGTCACTTCCTGTTGTGAATTATATATGTCTTTTTTTTCCTCGATTAATGTTTTTCCAGTTGGTGTTATTCTCAGCATTCTTCTGTAGAACCACATTTATATTGCTTCAAGTCTCTTCATCATCTGTGTGGAGATTGCCTTCATCCAATGTTAAATAGGAGGATTGATATTACAAAACAGTTAAGTACTCTTTTCTTTGTTTCTAACATTATTTTCTTCTTTCTTAATACTTTGCTTAGCTTTTGGAAGGAAACTTTCGCTAAAGTGTTATATGGTGATTACTCACGGGTTTTTTTTCAGGAGAACTTCAGAATTAGTTAACGATTATTTAAGTACATTTCTCTTTCAGATCGTGAGTGTTATTTAGCAATTATTCACATAGATATCTCTTAGATTATGGGTTTATTCTTGGGATCATAATTATTACGTAGTAATTACTTGTGTAGATAGGGTTTGGGGGGATTATACTTATTACTTAGCGAATACTCACGTAGATTTATCCTGGGGATCGTAAGTTTCGTATAGTAATTGTTCCATGATGGATTCCTTCTTTCTCTTCCCTGCCTGAGTTTCGGCAAGTTTGAATTTTGTCACAAAGGCCTAAAAAGAAATATAAAATGCAAATTACGTCACATGATATTAAAAATTAAAATTCAGATTTGAAAGCTACAGGGTCACAATAATTAAAACTCATTATATCCATAAAATAATGGATAGCGAGTCGGAATGAGAATTCTGTGTTCGATTTCCAGCTAAGTTTGGTTACATTCATTTATGTGCAACTACTTTTCGGAAACGTGTGAATCCATCATCTACAACAGCTATGGGTTGCATAGCAGGACTTGTATCTGGAAAAATCAGTTTTATTCTTCAAAAACTGTTAATGCAATATTCAATTGCAATGGCGATGATTTACCAAACGCAAACTTTATATTATGGTAAATGAAAGAATGCTTTAGAAAGGTTATCATTATACAGTAACTTAGCAAATTATCAGGTTAGGCGTAATGAAGAGATTTCTGCCACACATAATTGACACTTACTTTTAGACGGATATTTCTCTGGTATGCAAACAGCAAATCCAACACCTCCATGGCTCTGAAAGAATAAAAGTAAAAGGAATAATCGATTAATGTTTTTCCAGTTGGTGTTATTTCCATTTACACAGATCGAGTATATGATGAAAGAACATTACCAAAGAAAATCGTTTCATAGTAACTTGTTTTTACAAGCATCCATTAATGTAACATTTTCATATAACGTCTTAATAAAAGTAAAAGTATGAATTGCAAATGGCCGATTAGTGCTTGAAAAGAGGATATGTTACAAAATTTCAAAATTATTTAATAATAATGATTTTATTATTGTCTGAATTTCTGGGATGAGGAGATATCATTATTTACACTATTTATATTCGGACTATTATCCTCATCTTCCTCGATCTGAGAAACCTACAGGGAATTAAGAACATGAGCAGGAGCAACAGCAGCAGTCAAAATCTGACAGACAGCAGCAGCAGCAGCTGAAACCTTAATGCTTTAAGTTTACTATAGTAAACTGTCTTACGGTAAATTGGCCTAAAGGCATTAATTTTTGAATTTGGTGACATAGTGGTTTTGAGTTCAATCCCTGTGTACTTGCGAGTACCAGAACGAACGAGCAATATCTGAACAATATAAAATAAAAAAAAACAACTAGACAAATATCCCTATATATGAGCAGTTGAACGGATGCCAGTCTACCTCGTAGATTAAATAAAGGGTTAATTTCAGTATTCTCTGTAGGTTAACTCAGATCGATACACACATGAGGAAGGTCGGAGACTACACCGACCAAAACGTTGTGATAACAATAAAGATGAAGACAATATTCAGGATATAATAGTGTAAATAATAAATATTTCATGTAAACCTAACAATTTTATATATCAACATGCTACTTTTTATTAATTATATTAATTATGAATTTGCTTTCGTTATTTTTTTTGGAAAATTTATTGATGTCTGACTAAGTGAATAGCAGAATTGTTTGTTTGTGAATTTGTCATTGGAAATATTGGGGAAAAAATAATTTTAATATGGATTGTCTTGCATCTGTTGTGTACGGTATATATATGAAGAGCTACCCATTCATCCAGGGAATACAAATAAATTAACCAATCTATTCACTTAAGACACAGACTTTCTTGCGTCTCGTTCGACATTTCACATATTTCTCAAAACTACTCAACCAAGAAAAAAAGTTTTTTTTCTTTCGCCAAGAAAGTCATTTCGAACATTAAGTCTATCAATCTTTGTAATAAAATCTCATACATCCAACATATTTCAGATAATTGCTATCGTTCGATTCACACGTCACTCCGTTTTTGGGGGTTTTTTTTTGTTTTGTTTTTTAACGTAAGTAGAGGTTGTTTCTTGTTTAGGATTTAATTCCTTCTAAATTCGTTTCATTCATTTTCATACCCAGCAACCATTTGCGTTTTCGTGGAATTATTGTCTTGCTTGGGGTGAACATTTTTTAATTCCTCCAGGGCCTCGATAGCTGCTAAGGAAATAATTCACCTCCACTTATGTCAATATCAAGAATTGTGTTACTAAAATGTACGTTTTTAACTCCAAAAATAAAAAACGACGTCTTTTGTGCAATCGTTCATTTCACAAGCATATGAATAGACGAAACGTGCAAAACTTCTTAATTCTAATTTTAAAAATTTTTTTATTATTTTCGATTTTCCAGTAACATTTTACAGATTGTTTGTTTTAATTTTTTAACGAAACCACAATTTTCAGTGCCTTGAGGCTCGTGCTTTACCGAAGGATTATATATATTTATACCATGGGTGGAAAACGCCGGCTCGTGAACCACATGCTGTTCTTTTGCTTCTATTGTTGTCTGAGCCCCCTTTTTTTCTTAACCGTTCGTATAAAATGTAAATAAGAACAATTTCAAGCTCTATAATTATTTATTGGGTATGAATTGAGACCACAGAGGATTAAAACATTAATTAATGTAGTTTGTAAAATATTTGAGAATATAAACTTAATTTTAATGCTTAGACCTGAGTGACGTATTGTTCTTTAGTGCTGATGGAAGAAATACTGGGAGGCAGGAGGATTAAAGAAATTTCCGGTTAGCAAAGGTCACAGAGGAATGTCAGAAAACTGGGGTCATGGGTAAGAGAATTAAAGATTTGGTCGGGAAGTGAGAGTGGTCACATGTGTATATAACAAAAACGTATGTATAAATTTTGTCTATGTCTTGCGGCTCGCAAACATCTGAATTTTATTACATGTGGCTCTTACATTAAGCGAGTTTGGGCGCCCTTGATTTATACTGAAAATTAAAATATAGAGTAAGAAATTTATTAGAAAACTACATACTGAAATTTGGCGTTGACAATAGCCTCGGTTTCAGGTGAGCGCTCAAAACGGCCTTCGTTTCGATATAATTGTATTGCTTTTTGAGCCTCTTTCGTGTAACCTGAGGAGGAATAGAAGAAAATAACATTATCGAAAAAAAAATCAATTGACGAAATAGAGTAATTTAACCATCATGAAAAAAAAAAAACACCATTAATAAAAACGGAAAAATTCGCATCAACGGAATGTAAAAAAAAAAAATCAACTTTATGCGTTATGTCTTTCGAAAGAACCTCTTCAGATTAATAAAAATAGGGTCTTATATATATATATATATATATATATATATATATATATATATATATATATATAATATATATATAAGCATGTTTCATTAAAAACGACAGACAAGGTACTACGGTTAAGCTTTTTATTTAATTTTTCTTGTGTTCGAACAAGAGCTTTCTTCTCTGGACAAAGGGTGTGTAAAAACTGTCCAAATGTTTTATAGTTCCAGGCGCTTTCGGCTATACCTTTAGCCATTATCAAGGATGATTCGATTTTTCAGCTTAATTGAGTGTGTGCGTTCTGTGTATGTCTTAGTGTGTGGTAGGGATGTTTTTAGTTTCCGAATAAGGTTAGCACATTGTGTCTTTGTTCGTAGTTAATATTGTTAAGAGTAGGCTTCTTCTTTTTTATTATTAAAGCTTCCAGTATTTTTAATCTTTTTTTACAGGTGGATGAAGTTATTATATTTGTGATTTCTACTAGTATGTTTCTAATGGAGTCTGGTAAATTTGTGCGTGTGTTTAAATGGGTTCTAATGGAGCTGTGGACAGATAGGTGTAACATAAGACGTCAGGATAAGCATGTTGTTTGTGTAACCGATATAATTATTTATGAGTCCAGTTTGATCAGGAACACAGTTCCTTAAGCGGCATTTGAACTCATAGATAATATTCGTTCTTTGTAATTTTGACTTAGATGGTGTGTTGTTATTTTTGAGGATAAGGTTAGCTATATATATATATATATATATATATATATATATATATATATATATATGTGGGGGTTGTGTGTGTGCATGTTTGAAGTCATTTACATATTTAGCAAGCAAGATGAATGCAAATGCATCCCTTGATGACGAAATAACAAATTGGATCACTAAAGCTACAAGTACATTTGAGAAACTTCGCTACCGCCTATGGAATGAGAGACGTATCAAATTGAACACCAACATATGAGTTTACAGACCAGCTTTTTTGACCACACTGTTGTACGGCTCAGAATTATGGACTCAATATAGGTCCCTTATCGATCAGCTGGATGTCTTCCACAAAAGTTGTCTCCGCCCGATCTGTGGCTATAGTTTCGAGGATAGGGTGTCCAATGCTGATCTTCTTGCAAAATGAAACATTGGTGGAATTGAGAATTTTCTGATGCAGTCACAACATCGCTGAGCTAGTCATGTTGCATTGATTAATGACGACATGATCAAAGAAAAGATACAAAATAATAATAATAATATTAAAAAAACAAAGAAAAAACGAAATGCTTTCCTCAATCATTCTTAAAATATTCTTCTTTTTCATCTTTGCTTGTTAAAAATGATTCTGCTAAAACAGAATTAGCTATCAGATGATCCTGACACTTAGCAATTTTGTTTGGCTTCAAATGAAATTGAAATATTTTTTTTCGTGGTTCAACTTAAGAGTTTGAGGATTTAAAAATTTTTCTGTCGTTATTGCATCTACGACAAAATAAGGAAGCAATGGAATGAGGCTTTAGTGTTCCCGCGCTTTTTTTCGCTGGAACTGTAAACTAAACAGAAGACTAAGTTTGTCCTTTTGGCCTCGATCCATGACAATGCTATTGAAGTGAACATTATTATTTGTCTAAAATCATTACTGCCATTGATTTTCAAAATAAATAAGAAAAGGATAATGCAATGTATCCACCTTCCTAACGAAACTACTGCTATTAAAATGTATTGTATTTAAAGCAGTAATGATATGGTCATCAACTATAGCCAGCTTGAGAGTGGACAAAAGACTTTGGACGGCCGTGGCTCAGTTATAAAGACAAGTTAATGAGTAAGCTGTCAATGTGTCTGATACTAACTTCGAACAAGTTGCCCTGGATAGAAATAACTAGAGATATTTGTGCCAGAGTGGTATCAGTGATTTTGAAATTAAGCATATTGACCGGTTAAGAGACGAAAGACAACAGCGAAAAAATATGATAAAGTTAATTGATAATTCCAGAGAGGATATAAATCCCGAGAGGTCAAGTGATAATTAATTAACAAATCGGAGACTTCAAAATGACATGGTAATATTTTATTTTGCAAAATCGAGAATGATTCATTACTTTGAAACCGCCAGGTCTGACGAAGCGAAATCGAATTCTCGATTTTCGAAATAAAATATTACCATGGCTTTCTGAAGTTTCCAATTTGTTAATTATATATATATATATATATATATATATATATATATATATATAAACGACAAGCGAAAGGCAGCGAACACCGGTAAAAATTATTTTCATAAAGAAAAACTGAAGATATATGAATTCTTAAATTTGATTTCCTTTTTTAAATTTTATCTTTCGTTGTGTCTAGATGCTAACATAACCGACTTCATTTTGTTTTTATCATTACTGCTTTAAATACAACACATTTTAAAAGCAGTAGTTTCGTTAGGATACATTATCCTTTTCTTATTTATTTTGAAAATCAATGGCAGTAATGATTTTAGACAAATAATAATGTTCACTTCAATACCATTGTCATGGATCGAGGCCAAAAGGACAAACTTAGACTTCTGTTTAGTTTACAGTTCTAGCGAAAAAAGCGCGGGAACACTAAAGCCTCATTCCATTGCTTCCTTATTTTGTCGTAGATGCAATAACGACAGAAATTTTTTTAAATCCTCAAACTCTTAAGTTGAACCACGAAAAACATATTTCAATTTCATTTGAAGCCAAACAAAATTGCTAAGTGTCAGGATCATCTGATAGCTAATTCTGTTTTAGCAGAATCATTTTTAACAAGCAAAGATGAAAAAGAAGAATATTTTAAGAATGATTGAGGAAAGCATTTCGTTTTTTCTTTGTTTTTTTAATATTATTATTATTATTTTGTATCTTTTCTTTGATCAATGCAGAGAAAGAGCCGTTAAATATATTACGTTTGCACAGAGCGAAATAATTCAATGATTCCCAAACTTTAATTTTTGAAAACATTTTAGTCTTCATAATTTATGAGTTTTCAATACCTTTCTTCTTTTTTACCGTGTCTTCTGGAAATGGTACGTCCCGTCGCCCATCCAAAAGGGTCAACAGTGGCCCCATTAACTGCTTGATGTCATCGGTATCCATGTAGTAACCAAATTTCACGAGGTGTTGAAGGAGTCGCAATACCTTTGAGATGTAAGGAGAAAAGAAACATTTAGAGATGTAGCTTTCTAAAATATTGTAATTATTTTTACTAATGGAAGCGGAGACGACCATCCATGAGTAATATACATACGAGCTTACTTTTGAGGTGTAAGAACAGTTGCTAATATTGTCCAACATCAATAACAAGACTTGAATGAACGACAACTAAGCTGGCTAATATCGACAGCGGTATAATCACCAAAGTCCGACGAGGTTTTCTTTTGTCTCGTTCTATTTGTATATACAGAATTTTAACATAATCAAAATGTTGGTTGGTTTTGCAGAATTTACAATTGGCTAAAATATCTCTGCGGTCTCTAGGTTCAATTTGGAAATAATAGAAATTTGTTTATTTATTATATTTGAAATCATATTTACACTATTTACATTGTTCGGACTGTTGCCCTCATCTGTGTTGCCATGTTCACGACGTTTCGGCCGTTGTACGCTCCGGCCTTCTTCAGGTATTTGGAATTTCCAACCGAACCCTTTATTTCGTCCACCGGGATAGATTGTTCTAATTCCACGTAATATGCCACTTCCGGGTGCTCAGTTATCTCCCTTTAACGGAACTCTCCAAGTTTTTGTTCCCCACTGAAGTAGCCAGTCATTGACCGCACAACTCTGTGGGTCAAGTCGCTGGATCCAACCAACATTTTTATTCACTGGGACATCTGTCCTTGAGTTCGAACAATTTAAATAGTGTAAATAATTACAATCCTATCAATCCTATCAGTCTTATCCCTTATTATTTTTTTACTATTACAAAGGCTCTTCTGGATCAATGGAAATTAAACGACTTCTTATAGTTGTTTATACTGTTTACATGCGGACTATTCTCATCGATGTTGTTGTTGCTCTCACAGCGGCCATTGTATCCTCCGGCTTTCATCATGTAGATGTTGTTCCGTGTAACCTATAGAGAATTCCAAACTGAAACCTTTATTTGATCTTCGGGGGTAGACTTATCGTCCCACTGTCCATTTCTAAGGATATCTTGTCTAGTTCTTATTTATAACACTGCTCACTTATTGCTTGCCATGTTTCCACTGAGCTCAAGTTCTGACTGATCGACACAGTGATCGAACTCACAATTACTATATCAACAAATTTATGAACCAATGTTTTCATCCACTGTGTCCCGCAAATCAATAGCCTATTATAGTTCAACTAGGCTAAACCTGCATTTATGTTGGAAGCGGGGTTAATCTTATCTGCTCCGCTGGTACCAGTGATAGGTGTTTCAAACCTTATCAAAAGACATGGTTTTGAATGATGATATTACAGAGATAAAAGTTCTCTCTAAATGGAAATATTATGTAATGCAATAATCCGAACTTAGAGTTATCCTTAATAACCTCGTGCCAGACTAAACACAGGTAAATGAATATAGACTTGCTTTGATGATAGTCTAGCATACGATGGATCATGCAGTGTCATATGTCAGTAAAGATTTCTTGCATGAATTCTACAGCCTTCAGTTATATTCCAAATCCTTAGTTTATACATGAGTAAACTTAACTTCTGGATGCCTGTTGAATAGTTCCTTTTTAGAAACAATTATATTTGATTAATGTTGAATGAAATTATATCACCCATTATTACCAGTTTGTTGATCATCACATAAAATTCTTAAGAAAAAACAATTGCTGTATTAAAAGTGGGGATAAGCTGACCGAATTCAGAGTAAAGTTATTTTATACTCCGAAACATGAAGTACGATAATCCCTGAGGGTTATTTTGGACTAGGCTAAACTATACCTAGGTATATTTTGAAATGGGGTTTTCATTTTTTTTTCTAAGATGCTTGTCTCACCTGTTCAATAAGGAGGTTGTGTCCCACCAATGAAGCTATCATAACACAATTCTGACCGAGAAAATTGGCCAACCAATCTCGTAATACTGGAAAAATGGTCACTAAATCCTTGACCACCTGGAAAGAAAGAAAATGTTATATCACTTAAAATAATTCCAGTATTTGAAAGAAACTTTTAAACTTAATTCTAAATATTACAAGAGAAAATTCCATAATAATTAAATTGCAAAATTAAAACATAAGGAAAAAACAAATTGCGCCATAATTCACTTACCATTTAATCAAGAACAATTATGATTATTTGAAAATTGAAAACATCAAAATTAACGGAGCCATCAAATTCAAATCAGATTTTGGACAATGGATCAGATTTAAAACTAATAATCAACTTCTTAAACATTTTAACAATCACAGGTTTAAAAAAAGTCAATAATTAAAAGTTAGTAAAAAAAAAAAGTTCCATGGAAGCATTTTTAAAATTTTAATTTAAAATATTTTAAAGAGATTATAAATTAGATTCATATATGATGATAAAGTGTATCAAGTCAACTATAAAACAACTACAAACGGCATTAAACAAAACACAAAAAAACACCACCAATAAAATTATAACAAATTTAGGAACAAAAATACTAAGTATATTTCAATAATCAAATAAACAGACACAAACTATTTTGTGTTAATCATTTCACCCTAAGCAAAACAATAAATGGGTTACTGAATGTGAGAGAATATGAGAAAAAGAAAACGTTATTAAGGAGAGAGAACAATAAACGCACAGGAATGAAGAAGACAAAAAATAATGATTGACATTACATTTAAATTTTAGAAGATCAAAGTTCACTGGAAAACAAGAAACCAGAAGAGTTGCATAACTTGCTGTTACGCCTAGTCATTTCAACTTGAAAATGAGGAGACCTTATCGCCAATCTAGTAGAACGCTTAAATTCATAAAGTCTACGTATCATCAGAATAATTACCATGAATATATTTTTAGAAGAAATACCGTGAAGATACAGCGGTCAGAAAATGACTGAAGCCGAGATGCTATGACAGGACCAATAAAATTGCAGATTCTTCTTTATTTAGAATATATAAATACATAGCACGAACGCCAGACCAGATGTCTAATTATATTATACTAATATAATAGTATAATAGTGATCATATTATTTTTTTTGTCGGAAAATAATGTCCGACAATAGAATCGACTTTTATTCTTGAATTAATGTATTTAAACAGTGTTCAAACTAGTCAAAGTAGGAATCCTGAACGTCTATAGATATTTGCCATCGTGTTACAAAGTTATTTTGTATTTTGACAAGGACCTCTAAATACATAGCAAAAGCCCCAGGTCTGACAACAATATTCAATGCATGAACGAATGGTAAACATATAAATGTGTACGATATGGCGGTACAAATTGTCTATCACATAAAATAAATTAAACCGACGTTATAGCAATGAAAATCGCAATAATGTCTAACGATAACGGAAAGTACTCAAATACTGGACAATTTATTTTTAAATACATACCTGAAACAAAACAAAAAAATGCAATAATCCGATGTGTAGAATTTTTTTAAAAATATCCTTAAAGATTTTGATTTGTCTTTAAACAGACTTGCATAAATGAAAATAGCTGCCTCAATACACACCCAATTCATATATTGGAACAATATGTCTACATCAGAATACTTGCGTAAAATTAACTCTATAACTACAAATTACAACATTTTATATACGCATTTGTCTATCTTTTTCCTATATATTTACATTTTTAGACTTGTTTTACACATTTAGCTGCAATTATAACATGGAGCAAAAGCATGCAAGACAAAGTTTGTTGGTTGCTATGGTCTGACTCGGTGGCTGTTTGTTTCCACAACTGGTTACTTTTCGGTGCCGCCATAATGCAACAAAATCTGTTCCATTGACTTTGCTCCATTCACCAGTACAATTTAAACAGCGCGTGCTAACTCCTTCAAATAACTTAAATGAGGCGCTGGGGAAGACAATATTAAGAACCATGAGTTAAAGTGATTGAAATATAATAAAAATTTTGGAGATTTGAATAATTTCACATAATAATTCATCGAGTCTAGAAAAAGAATCCTCAACAGAATGCACTGGACTGTTTCGTTCTTTTTGAGACTCATCAGCAGTGCGCATCCACTACCGAGAAAAGAACCCGGACTGTTACGATACAACACAAGTGTCATACCAATGGGCCAGAGGAAAGTCCTAATAAACATCCAAATATACATAACCGACTGGAACCGGCCCCAAGAGCAACGTCTTCTTTCACCAACCGCTCCCTCCAACCGCATTAAACCTGGGTCAAACATAAGTTTATAAGTAATAGAAATTTTGGAGATTTGAATCAGGAGTAGCTGCGCTATATTGAGTCAAGTTAGTTTTCTCTTCGTCACAAATGCCCTCTGGCTCAGTGGTATGACGCGTGCGTTGTATCATAACGGTCCGGGTTCGATTCTCGGCTAGTGGATATGCACTGTTGATGAGTCTCAAAAAATGCAAAACGGCCGTCCAGTGTGTTCTGTTGAGTATTCTTGTTCTCGACGATGAATTATTATGTGAAAAATGTATACTTCTCTCT